AATATCATTTCTTCCTAAATCCAAGGTTTAGTTCTTGCCTTAGTTATTGAACATCTTCACTTTGTCCAGAGGTCATTCATTCTTTCCCTGGAACATACAAGCTATTTTTGTCTTCCCCATGTTTAAAAATATCCTGTAAAAAAGAAGAGAGAAAAGAGTTAGCAGGTATGAATTCTTGGCACAGATAAATATACTCTTTCACATAGATCTATAACCTATATGCTGCATTCTTTTTCTTCAGATAAGTGAATACATAGAATCCTCTGTTAGCTGTCCTTGGTTCCTTAGTAATAATGGTTCTTTAGTAATAGTCTCATTTTTCACTTGAATCATTAGTCAAATTCAGGGCCCTAAGGGTTGTTTGAGTAGAAATTGTTGATGGACTCAATCATCTTTGAAACAATTCAGTTTATTCACAGAATGTACAACACCCTGGTTCCCTGACCATTGCAGGAATCTAACAGGAGACTGTTTCTTTGCTCATCGCTCCAAGACCATATTTTGTTAACACTGAGCCCAAAAGGTCTCAGATAGCTTTTTCTGAGAGCTAAGCTATCAGTTTTTCAGTGGCTTCCCTCAGTCTTCTGTATCATCTTCATAGGAACATAACAGGCTTCACAAAATAGCCCCATTGACTCCTTTTGCACACACAAACCAGACATAAGACCCCTCTTTCAGTGCATTCACCCATGCTCTTTATTGTCAGTGTCAATTCCCACCACCTTCTATTTACAGAGTTTCAGACCTGTCACCTCGGGGACCTCTTTTACAACTAGCTGGGGAGCATAGCCTCTATTCCCTGGCTCCTCCCATGCTTATCCTTCCCTCTCACTGGCTAATGAGGCCAGCAGCTGTTCCCCGTTTGCCCCTTAGGTTTAGGCTTATTCAGCCACCTCCAATTAACCTTTCCTGGTGGTACTGGCCCTACAGAGCTCTGGTTCAGGTTTCCTAACCAGCAGCCTGTCACAGAAATATAAACCTTCCCAGGACATTTTCCAGTGAAACCCCTTTGATGATTTGTGTCTGTGTTTTGGTCAGTGACACATGCTTGTGTTTGAAGTGGGAGTTGCTATTGTTTCAATTACGTTTTTCCATAAAGGAAATTAATCATTTCTTACATTTATCCAAGTGAAGCTCATCTCTTCTGCTCCCTGGGATCAATGGAGTTAAACACAACCCATAACAATGTTTAGCACATATGTTTCAATTAGTTATTTTCCATTATTTGAATCTGTTTGAAAAAAATCAGTCAACCTGTGTGAATTAACTTTCATAAACTGTGCAACACAGTAATGACTACGTCTAGACTGGCATGATTTTGCGGAAATACTTTTAATGGAAACGTTTTTTCCGTTAAAATTATTTCCACAAAAGTGCGTCTAGATTGGCACGGATGCTTTTGCGCAAAAAGTGCTTTTGTCTTTTAGATCACTGCAGGGGACACAAAGGGTGGAAGTCAGGGTAATTTATCTGAATCTTTAATTCTCCGGCCTCCACTCATGAACAGAAATAAATTAGTTTTCTAAAGAGCATGAAGAGTAAATGTTAAAATAATTCTTCATAGTGTAGGTTTATGATCAGGTATTGAGGCTATTGATTGTGAATATGTAACTATCCATCACTGCCATCATTAAGTGAAATTGCATTCAGCGGTGCAAAGCAACAGCATTTGGATTCCAATGTGCATAGAACTAATGTAAAAACTAGAAGCTGCAGCCACATATCAAGAGTCCTCTTGCAAGTCTTACTGCTTATTAAGTATGAATCAGAGTCAAAGACTTATCTTAAGCCTGCAAGGAGAGCTTTGTGTAAATGGCACTCAGTACAAGCTGAGCTATGCAGTTGGGATCAATGCCATCATAATCAGAAGGACCTCATAAATGATGGTGTTTAAAGCTGCTCCACATAACTTCTAACTGACAATTCATATTTTTAAACTTTTCTTTCCAGTTTGGAAAGCACATCTCAGCGGGGGTAAGCTGTTGCCTTGATTTACGCTGTAACCTTTTGGGAAACCAATCACACACAAAGGCCTCATCCCTTATTCAAGCCCATGGGGAGACTGAGTGCCCAAAATGATGGAAGGAAACAAGTGGGGAAAGAGGAGGTACAGCAACAATAAAATGGCTGCATATTTTCTTCCCAACACTGATGAAGACAACACCTCCCTATCTGTGAGGCTCCCCACCTCTGAGGGACTATTCTGACTGCTTGGAGATTCTTTTCAAAATGTAGCCTGACGTTTAAGGGAAACTCAAATTCATCACAAGAGGAAGATTGTTCTTCAGGAATTGTGCAACAACATGACCCCTAGGCAAACATCTGAATGTCTTAAATTATCTACATTCATATCTATATAATTCACAATATTTTCAGAGATCCTAATGTAAAGCTGACAGACCCTCGCTGTCAGCAAGAGGGATTGAGCTTACAACCTTAGAGTGTAAAGTCATGTGCTTCTACAGCATGAACTAAAAGTAAACTGCTTCTCAGCTAAGGCTGAAAAGTAGACTTCACTCTCCCTTGTCAGTGATCTCACTGCTTCTGGTTACACCAAGAACCCGAAGTCAGTGTAAATGCATGATATGGGTTATTGTAATCATAGAATCATAGAATACTAGGACTGGAAGGGACCTCGAGAGGTCATCAAGTCCACTCCTCTGCCCCCATGGCAGGACCCAGTACTGTCTAGACCATCCCTTATAGACATTTATCTAACCTGCTCTTAAGTATCTCCAGAGATGGAGATTCCACAACCTCCCTAGGCAATTTATTCCAGTGTTTAACCACCCTAACAGTTAGGAACTTTTTCCTAATGTCCAACCTAAACCTCCCATGCTGCAGTTTAAGCCCATTGCTTCTTGTTCTCTCCTCAGAGGCCAGTAAGAACAAGTTTTCTCCCTCCTCCCTGTGACAACCTTTTAGGTACCTGAAAAATCTATAGCACCTTCTCCCAATCATATATTAGTTGTGTCTGTCACATGTTTATAACATGTATTAATTCATTAACTTTTAGAACAACATTCAGCAACATTTAGTGGCCCATCAGGTTCATGAGCCATGGGTTCATGTTGAGTGTCCACAAGCAGGCCCCATCCCCAGCTCCTAGTGGCCACGGTTCACAGGCAATGTGGGCTGCGGGAAATAGTGCAGGCCTAAGGGACATGCTGTCCACTGTTTCCCGTGGCTCCCATTGGCTGGCAACAGGGAACTGTAGCCACTGAGAGGTGTGGGGGACTGTACCTGTGGATGTTCAACAGAAACAAACTGTCTCACAGACCGCCAGATGGGCTGTGTGCCAAAGATTGCCAATTCCTAATTTATAAACTATTTGTAAATGCACCCTAAACATGAAGTATGACATTTTTCTGTGACCTTCATTTCAAGCCAAAACTTGCCACTTTCCCTTTTCACAGGAGCTTTTTGTGAAATGCTGACAAAACTTCTCAGCTTTCTAAAACCCACTGTCCACTTTCCCTGTGTAATAGCTTTAACAGCTCTTGAAAAAAAAAGAAAAAAAAAGAAAAACAATTTCTGAGAAGTGAAATGAATGCAGTACCAAATGGTGTGATCCTATGAACTATGTTCAAAGAAGCATAAAATTATCTGCATTTGAAGGTTGATTAGATTTGACTGTAATGCTGGTACTGTATGTTAAAATATATTTTCTCCTCTGCAGTGACATTATATATAGTGGAAAAAAGATGCAAGAGAAATGATGTGAACATTTGTAATTGCACAACATTTTAGTTAATTATTCTTCCAATTTACCAATGACCTAAATAAGTTAAATAAATGAAATAGTTTTGCACTATCTGCTTACCCGGTTCCATTATTGGTATCATGCCTGTTTATTATAAGGACCTCAAAAACCATTAGGTGCTTTTGCTTAAAAGGGTGTTATGAAACTGGTGGTGATTACATTTCAGCCATGCAGTAAAAGCCATAATAGAGCTCATGACTGGCTACTCAGAGATGCTGAGCCCAATGCCACTCAATTCGTTCCAGCCTCTCCTGTTGCCCAAGAAACCTGAGTTAAGTTTCCTGTCCTGAAAGAGGAACAGCCTGGGGATAATCCCAATACATACAGCATCTAGAGAGAGTTTGACAACAAGATTATTTGCAGTAGCAGGAGACTGGACTTCAAGGTCCATGAGATCCCTTCCATTTATAGGCTTGTAGACCTTAAGGTCAGAAGAGACCATCATGATCATCTAGGACCTCCTTCAACAACCCACACCTTTAACAGACCCTTAACCTCTGGCTGAGTTACTGAAGTCTTCAAAATCACATAAGACTTCAAGTTATAGGGAATTCACCATTTATACTACAGGTTGGACCTCTCTGCTCAGAGGGAATTTACCAGACATGGGGAGGTCCACTACTACCAGCCCCCCAGCTGACAACTCCTGGCAGCCCAGGCTGCTGCGTCAACTGCTGCAACCCCAGCTGCAGCGCCAGCTGCACTATCTGGCTCCAGCTCTGGCTCTGGCCCCTGCCCTACCGGGCTCCCAGCCACCAGCCCTCTTGCCACTGGGGCTCCCAGACAGTGTTAAACAAGGATGTAATCTTGTCTATGTAAGTGTATCCCATGGAGAGCCCAGGCTCTCCACCATTGCTGTATCTCTATCACTGAGTATTAGTCATAGAAATGTAGCCGTGTTAGTCTGGGGTAGCTGAAGCAAAATGCAGGACAATGTAGCACTTTAAAGACTAACAAGATGGTTTATTAGATGATGAGCTTTCGTGGGCCAGACCCACTTCCTCAGATCAAATAGTGGAAGAAAGTAGTCACAACCATATATACCAAAGGATACAATTAAAAAAAAGAACAAATATGAAAAGGACAAATCACATTGCAGAACAGAAGGAGGAGGCGGGGGGGTGGGAAGGGGGAGGAAGGAAGGTAAGTGTCTGTGAATTGATGATATTAGAGGTAGGGAGAGTGGGATGTTTGTGAGTTAATGGATTCAACACAGTTCAACACAAAATGGCTGAAACAACTACTATTTTATTAACATAACATTGAACTTAAAAAACTAACACAAAATCTGGCTGTCACAAATAAAACAATGGTGTGAAGCCAGGGCCCAAAATACAAGTGGCCAAAGTTGGGGCAACAAAAAAAATAGGGATGATACCACCATCTCAGTGTGCGGAGGCAAAGGTAAATAGATGTCTTCAGGATAGAGAAAAGGGAACTCAAGGAACAGGACAGACTTGTAGAGGCTCAGGCAGGTGACAGGTCTTCTGTCTTCTTTTCTTTAATCTTCTTTTCTTGACTCGCTGTCCTGTGTGTGCTGTGGAAGACAGGAAGACAAATGATGGAAGTGTGTGTGCGTGTGTGTGTGACAAGTAGATGTAAGAGATCCAATTGCTTGGCCTCAATGCAGTCTCCTTCAGTTAAAATGAATAAATCTTGTGCCAGCAACTGCTACAGGTGTGGGGCAATTAAGATAATAACAGAATGATGCAATAGTGCCAGTATTACTTCCAATTGCCAACCTTCTTGCCACTGGGGCTCCAGTCAGTACTCACCGGTACAGGAACATCTGTGGTCCTGCTAGATCATGGCTGTTGCCAAACCAGAGAGTCCTGATTTTGTCCAACCTATAGTTTAAATCTGCATATGACCTGTGCTGCATACTGCAGAAGAAGGTGTCGGGGGAAGGACTAGGCTTTATGCCAATCTGACTTGGAGGAGAAGTGGGGTAATTCCAAATATTGTGATCAGCTAGACCCAGAGCGTGTGGGCTAGACCCATCAGGCAGATACCTGGAAAAGAATATTCTGTAGTAACTCAGAACCCTCTTTATCTACTGTCCTATATCTGGCCATTGGAGATTTTTGTTACTGGCCGTCACTGCTGGACCATATGTCATTGTGAGGAGTCTCATCGTACCATCTCCTTCATAAACTTATCTATCTCAGTCTTGAAGCTGGTTCATTTTTTGCTCTTTTTGGAAAGCTGTTCCAGAACGCCACACCTCTGATGGTTAGAAACCCTCACCCAATTTCACGTCTAAACTGGAGGGCCACTTCATATCAATTTCTTCTAATGTTCACATAGGCGCTTAACCTAAATAATTCCTCTCCCTCCCTGGTATTAGTTCCTCTGATGTATTCATAGAGAGAATCCTATCTCCTCTCAGCCTCCTTTTGGTTAGTTATGTTCTTATGATTTACAGAAGCAATAACTGATTGCAACAGTTCTATTAAACATCCTTATTACTGGATAATTTGGGCTTCTTTTCTCAAGGCAAAAATAAGTGCAAAGAGCAATTTATTTAGTTAGACCATTACTTATGTAAGGGAAACTCACAGCTGGCTGCTAGTGGCCCTGATTAAAACACTCCAGCATTTCTTGAAAAGCACTTAAGTTGCCTGACTTTCTATTTCACATGTCCAGTTGAGTCCACATTTCTAACAGTGATTAAAAGGAAAAAAGTCACTCGTGGCATAAGGTAAAGCCCAGAGGAAAAGCTCTCCCAGCCAAAATAAGAGCAAATTCAGTTTAATTTTCAGCGCACACCTGTTCTGGTGGATATCATTCATCTCATTGCCACAGCTCCTATGGCCCACACAGACATTTAGTGTTGAAAATTATGTACATTATAGATGAGTTATAAACAAGAGGAAGGAACCCCATAGCATTTGGATGTTCCAGTAAGAATAAGTGTGTGTGTGTGTATGTCCCTCCTTTGACACTCCCGCACCCATGCATGTGGGCTTTGGCAGATTGAGAGTTTCAAAGTCATTTTTTTAAATGTCAAATAAAATCTCGTGTTCAAAACCTCACACTTAACCAGCAAGTTACAGCTGCAAGGAAATGTGATCTTTCTCATTTTTCCTCCTAATATGTGCCGTGTCCTGCTGTGAAGGTGTGGGACAGGATTATTGGGCTTATAGTCTTTCTATATATATGGTAATGTAAACAGGGGAAACTCTGTACTTTCCATTTTCATTTATTTCCTCTATTCATACTGGGCTATTACTGGGTTGCTTGCTTCCTTCTGAAAGTCCTCTGAGAGTTCCTGCCAGGAGACCAGTTATTGGCAAGGTAAGAGAGCCTGGAGGCCGTGCATCTGTTCAAGGACTGACAGGTAGCACGGTGAGTTAAGAAGCCAATGAATCTGTAGCATTTGGCTTAGCCCAGACAAATAAAATCACTGCTTTGCTTTACATCTCCCAATACTGGGCCATTGTGTGCTACTTGTTACTTTCAGTGAGTAGTTCTTCATTCCTTGAAATTAGGAAGGTAGTTCAATAGTGCAGCACAGTCTTTAACCCCAGCTACCTTCCTAATTTCAATAGTGCAGCACAGTCTTTAACCCCAGAATCATTTAAAAATCAATTCTGCCTCTCTTTTATCTTTTCTAAGTAAAAATGTGTGGTGGGGAAAACTTGCCTTATAGGGATATGTTGTTTCTGGAACTCTATCTTTCTGATATTTCTATTGTCTCTACCAATCAAAATTCACCCAGTCCTGCAGCCCTTATTCACCTGAGCCCAGATTGTAGGAGCAAACTCATTATTTGCCCATATGAAAATGTATTTGCTACTCAGCTGGTGTAAATCAATATAGCTCAAAGGTTGAAGTCAATACTGCTATATCAGCTCGGGAACTGGCCCAATTAAAAAAAAGAAAGCAAATCCCTAAAAAAAAGGCATAAATTAATGGCTGAAAATGTTATGGGATTGTACAGTGTAAGCATAGCATTTGAGTATGTTAAGAAAAAAATACATATTGTATACCATAGAATTCAGGCCAAATGAATTTTACACTAAGGGCCAAGTGGCTTGAAAACAGAGTGCAACATAGCAGCAGAGGTAGCAAAAAAGCAAAGAGTTCGTGCTGGGGAATAAAAAAAACACTGAACAAAATGCAGCAAATTCTGAATATCTGTCCAAAAAGTACATTCACTTGACACGGGCATTTTCCCTAGAACTATGTTAGCCTTTCTAGGTGCAAAAAAGAAGCTCTCAGTCTATTCCCTTCCCACACCATGCGTGTCAACACAAGGCAAAATATAATCCTTAATATGCTAAGATTTCACATAAATCCAATCCTGGCCACTGTGCTGAGATATTCATGTGTTTCTGCGGGAAACACTCCATAGGGTGGAATTAAGAAAGCAAGGTTCTGACCCACAAATTTCACAGATCACTAACATCCCTATCAGTTTTTATCATCTACTGGGAAGCACAGGGTCATCTGTATGCAAATGATTTACCTTTACAGAAGCTCTGACCTGGCCTGCAGCAAATTTAGCCCTCTCCCTGGTTCAGTGGCATCATTCCTCTTTTTTCCTATTGATAATGAAAATCACTTATCTACAGACATATGAATTATCTACAATAGAAGTGTTTCATTTTGCATCCAAAGAACCGGAGTTTCATATGATTACTTGCAACTGTATAAGATTCTATGAAAAGAGACAACGTTGGGTAGAAGAGTCTTCATAAATTTGAGGAAATCACTCCAACATATTTTTATCACAGATATAAACAGCTTCACATGGGAGGAATATAATGCAACATTTTGGGCATTGTCCAACAGCTGCTAGTATTACAGAGATGGTGTATGTTATATAAATTATATATGTTTAAAGTAAGACTTCTTGAGCTCAAATGATATTCTTTGTTGAGCAAACAAGCTAAACAAAGTATTTTAAAAAGGTGCAGATTACAGAGCCCTTCTCATCTAAAAACCAACCCCAGAAGTTATGAAACCATACATCTTGTAACTAGCTACAGTTTTCCTAGTCAAGGACCATGAAAAACATTATGAAGATAATTATTTAAAAAAACCCAGAATTATAATTTGATTGTTCTATTTACAACTATGATTATTTCTAAACAGCTATTGAACTTTCTGAGAATGTATACAGCACTAGACTTACCTGATGTTTCTTAGGTCCTTCAGGGCAGGGGGCTGGCTGTACAGGGGATGCAGGAGTCAGGGCACGGGTGCGGGGCTCAGGGTAGGGAGCTGGGATGTTTGGGGGGGTTCATTGGGGTCACCCATGGTGGTGAGGACTGCACTTCACCTGCCAGCGTCCCCCAAGCCTGGCCCCTGATGGACATTCTGGTCCAGGCCATGGAAAGCCCTCAGAAAGTGAGAGGGGGCCAGAGCTTCACAGCCCAGCTGTGCTCTGGCAGCTTCTGGAGAGCTGGAGAGGCAGGGCTGCAAGATCCAGCCTGGCCCCAGCAGACTCTCCGAGGGGGGTGGGGCGCAAGGACCACTCCCAGCAGCAACTCCAGGAGTGGGAACTAGAGCTGCATGGAACAGCCTCAGCCCTGGCAGCTCCTCGGGGTCACAGAGCTTCACATTCCAACCCTAGACCCGGCAGCTCCTTGTTGGGGGCAGGGCTGCCATGGTCAGAGCTAAAGGCCAGGGAAGAGGGGTCTGTTGGCAAGGGGGCCAATTATCCAAGACTGGTGGCCAGAAATATAGGGAGCTCTGGCTTCATCTAGCCACTCTGTTCCTGGTGTGGCCACCCCCCCTGAAGTTACTCTTCAGAATAACTGTCCCCAGTGTTCATTGCAGAGCATAACTGTTCCTGTTTTCAGCCCCCTCCCTTTCTGTGTTGTGGAAAAGAATTAGATTCCAGGCAACACCAAGCTGTGGCCTTGCTTTAACTATGACAAGAGGAAGTTGCCTACCAAATTTGTGGTCCTAGCTCTTACAGTTTAGGAAGAGTTCTTGAACAAACTCATAGACAGATGGACTCATTGACCCAATCACATCAGCCACCACATCAGAGGCTCCTTTAACTGTACATCCACTAATGTGATCTTTGCCATCAAATGCCAGCAATGCCCCTCTGCCATGTATATTGGCCAAAGTGGACAGTCTCTATGGCAAAGAATTAATAGACACAAATCAGATATCTGAAAAGGCAACACACAGAAACCTTTAAAGCAGAGAATACTTTAACCTGACAGGGCTCTCATTAATGGATCTCAAAGTCACCCTGTTGTATCAGGCTTGGGATCCATCACAAAGGTCTGAATAAAGACATTACCTAACTAGCACACTACCTTCCACATCCTAATGACTTAAAAAACCAAACAACGGGAACTTATGAACAATTTGCTCCTTCTCTATCAGCTTCATGCAAAATGAACACTCTGATTAACTTCCCTCGTCT